CCGAAAGGAGTGCACCGGCACAAGCCGCAAGAAAGCCAGTGTTGCTCGTGCATTGGCGAGCATTGTACCCAGAGAGACACACCTCTGACCTCACCTCAAAGCCAGATTGATGGGTAACCGGTGTTGAATCTACAAGGTGCAGCTTAAATTTACAGATCTTTGTTGCTCCAGAGTTTGGAATTTGCCTGTCCAGTCCGGAGCAGACAGAAACACACACATGCAACAAGTAGTAATAATAATAACAATAATAATAGTAATCGTACTAGTAATATAATAGTAATAGTAATAGTAATAGTAATAGTCACCGCCTCAGGTGATCACGACAGAGCCCTGGCAGTATGGACCAGTGTGTGATTTTTTTTGAAAGACTTCCATGTTAATGAAACAAGTCTTTTGGAGAGGCAAATGTGGCGTTCACGGGGCAAATAAAAATTCCCCAAGGAGGTGCAGTTGTATAGAACTATCGTGTCTTTTCAAGAGTACGTTCGCAAGTTACCTGTCCCATCATCATAGTAAAGGCTACAGGAGCAGACGCATGCAAACCGAATGACAGAAAAGGAAGGCTGCAAGAAGGAGCAGCATTCTAGCGAACATGGGTCAAGTAGCAGTACCTGATTCCAGCTACTATAATAGATTATAATATGCTATACAGTAATATGCTATAAAAATACTAAAAATATACTATAAAATACTATATAATAAACATACTGTATTATACCATAATATACTATAATAAATATAATATACCATAATATACTACAATGTACTGTAATATGCCATGATATACTATGAAATATGATAACTGACTATAATATACTATACTATATTGTCTAGTCACCCGGTGGCTATTGTAGCAGTGTCACAAAAGGACACCTGGAGCAGCATCCTGAGTAGCGGTGGAGTATACAATGTATATAGTCCCCCTTAAGTAGATCAAATATGGTGTATATGAGGGTTTAGGGGTTTAGGGGTTTAGGGTTTAGGGAGATCAAATATGGTGTATATGAGGATCTTACCATAATGTGGGTCAATTCCATAGTCTATCGACTTAAGGGGGACTATATATGAATATATGTGTGGGTTATATAGGGATAATGGAAAGTACAATGGAAACTCATATTTAGGCGTTACGGATATACAGTGGTTGTATAAGGATAATAGAGAAGAAAATAGAAACTACTATTTCGGGTTATGTATATGAATTTTATATTGGGGTTATATATGGACAGTGAAAAAAGGGAAACTACTGTATTGTATATATTGTATATTGGGGTTCTTAGTAGGGAATGTAATATATAGGTGGTTGTCAAAATTATGGTCACTTTTTGGGTACCCTAAATATTAAGTGCCGTAGTATCATAGGGACCCAAAAAGGGACCATAATCTTGACAACAACCCATATAGCTTCAAACCCTAAACCCTAGACCCTAAAACCCTAAACCCTAAACCCCCTAAACCTTTTCTGAGACCGCGCTTTGGCTGTTTCAGAGTTGTATGGCAGCTGCACCCACTTAGCTCCAAACCTCAGAACAGAAGTTCGTTTAGGGTTCAGGGCTTCGGGTTTAGGTTTAAGGGCCACATTCCCCAGCCTGACACCTAGGCACTCTACAATATACCGTCATATACAATAATAGACTATATTATACCATAAATGCCATGATATACTGTTTCATAATATACACTAAAGCATTAGGATATACTATAACATACTATAATACTCCAAAAAAATCTATAATATACTATAATCTACCATAATATAATCTATTCTTATGTGCTAATAATATACTCTCATGTACCTCCATGAACGAAAGACACTTGTTTGAGACTTGTCTCTCAAGCCCGGGCAGGGGCAGCCAAAAAGCAAAGTCTACTTTGATCTGGAGGAAGTAGCTCGAGCTGAAGCAAGAAGGCTGACCCCGCGGTCCATAAACACCCCCTATATAACAGCCCTTATGTACCCCCTATATACCTCCTGTATAACCCCTATATATAACCCCCATATATAACCTGGAGGGGTGATGACAGCTAGGCCTGTCTCAACTGAGCTCTTAACACGGCTACTAGAGCGCACTTGAAGATCCGAGTCATAGCACGGGCCAGCAAAATTCATAAATCTAAAGTGTATGGTCCAAATGGTGGGTGTTCGACAATGCTTCAATTTGATGGAAACTACAAATTGTGAAATCGTAGATGACGAATCTGTGGAGTGATCTGGGTGTTTCATCTACCATAATATACTTCATTACACAATAGTATACAATAATATACTATACTATACCATAATTATATCATAAGGCACTAGAATATACTGTAATATACCTTAGGGCTGCTCAGGCCCCTGAATTCCTCTTCCGAAACCAACGCCAGTGCTGCCCGCAAACGAGAGGTTGGTGGGACAAATTTGGCGCCCAATCGTTCTCAAGCAACCCTAGGGGTCCAAATAGCCCAATGTAGGTAATATTTGATTATTGAAATTAGAGTATAATGGTATATCATAATATAATATAACATATTATGGTATATTATACCATATTATAATATATTTTGTATACTTGGATCCCTAGGGCAATGTTTGTAGTGCTATGCATACGGGCATTTCCAGAGGCGGGTGCCTCCTTTCCCCAAAGTACTATAATCAGTAGTTGAGGTACCTCCAGAAAAGGATCTCATTCTTGGAATCTCCGATGTGGCGCAGATGTCCGGAGATTGCACCGGTATCGGCTGTGGTTGTGTGATGCGTTGAGCCTGTTTATGGGCCTTGGAAGCGTTCCGTTGAACTTATGGAGATTTGCTTAAACAGACCTTGCTGACGCTGTATATAGCTGGCATTGGAACCTGCTCACTGCGATCGGAGCCACATTTGTGAAGCCCTATGAGGACATGCGTCTTGAACAGGCCCTCTCACAACATCCATCATTTCTTCAATTATTTGAGGCGGGTATGCGGGAAGTTTTGCAGGGTTTCTATTGAGGTTGTAAGTCGGGCTGCGATGAAGATGTTGATTAACACATACCCGAAAAGTCTGGTTCGCGCTGATGGAATGGAACGAAATGACAACCATTTGCGGCATGTCCAATTAGCGGTCTACCAGAACCGTAAATTTTGGAGGTAATAAAAAGGCCCGAATTTCGGGCACTTTAGCACCTTTGGCAAAAGAGTATGCAGACCTCGACGCTTTCCATTTGAACTTTAGGTGCGTCAACGTGCCTGCAAAACTCAAACTCTGAGATCCTCACGTTTCTATGCATTTTCAAAAAAAAATTGAAGGGCTCACATGTCATGCAAGGAGTTTTTTGTCATAAACCTTGGCTGTTCTCACGAAGGGATAAGTACCCATACCCCAAGCCTAGACCCTAAACCCTAAGCCCCTAGCCCAAGACAATCGCAAAGCCTTTCTACACTGGCTTCGTCTTCTTAAGCCCTAGAGGTCCTAGAGCTTAACCGAACATAGTTCATAGCAAGGTTACCAAATATTATAGTATATTATAGTTATTACAATAGATTAGAGTATATTATAGTTATTATGGTATATTATAATCCCCATCTCGGCCTAAACTTTAAACACTGAGCCCCTTAGAGGCACTTTTTTTGCGTCATGTCTTGCGCGTCTGCAACAAAGAGCCTGAGCAGCTGCGGATCACAACCAGCGGCCATAAACTTTTGACGAAAGACAACCCAGAAGACCGGATGGCTGCCTTCTTTACATGTTATATAAGACTATACAACAAAGTGGTAGTGTGTGCACATAAAATATGATAGTTTCCCAAAATAAGGGGACCCCAATATAGACCCCCAAAATACCCTAGTCCGTATTATAGGAGCCACCAAAAAGGTACCTCTGATGTTAGGAAGCCCCCATTTCCTTGAAACTAACTATATAATGCTTTAAATCCCTATAGCTTCCATTTTCTTTTCCATTATCCCAATATAACCCTACTGTTATGAGACTTGTAGGATGAGGGTTTTGAGTTCTGGAGTTGAAGGTGTCCTCGGTGGGGTCCTCTTGTGAGCAAACACGTTGAGAAGGGCCAATTGCAGACTTCTGCGTGGCTTCTCCATGGATTTTTGCTATGAAAACCCTCCCAATGTCAGGGAGGTTTCCTGGGTTGGGTCCCTGCACCATGGAATATGGCCCTTAGTAAGGGTATTTGGGATCCCAAACCTGGGGTTGCAAACATTAAGGGTACAAACTTAAAGTCGTTGACAATGCTTCTGCCCCCTGAAGCAATCACCTTGAACAATCAAAACCTAGCCTTCCTGCTGCAAGCAGTGTCCAAGGAGCTCGTCTGTTACAGGGTAAGGATTGTGGACCTTGGGGTACAACCATTCAGAAAGCTCGTGCTCCAATCATACTCCATGTCCAGCGTATAGGTAGGGAGCCACTCGCCGGCCAATATCATAGCGTACATGTACGGCTTGCCGTGCATAGCCAAGATCTATGCCCCCAGTATGACTCCATGTTCGAAAGCTCTACTGCGCAAAGTACTGTGTCGCAACCAGTAATTAGGCCTTCTATTTGAAGATCTACACACGACATCGGCCAAATTGTTTACTTCCCGAATCCTTGCCTAAGACCGTTGCGGCCTAGACCGACGCATCCTGCAACAGTCGAGACCGAATAATGCGTACACCCCCAACTTATGTTCGAAGGGCGTAGATACTTTCCTTATTATTGTCATGATTCCTTGCGTAACCATTTTGGGGTACTTCAATCAGACCTCTACATCATATTCACAACAACTTCGGCCTCTATAATGGGGGCTGCGGGCTTGGTAACCCAGAGGAGGATCTTGGGAGCCTCAGATTCAACGACTCGACCCATGCTCTCACGGTAGCTACGTCTCTGTGCAACACTAAAGCTCCAGTTGCTCCTATTGCGGACACCCTTGCGGAGGAACCTGCCACAAAAGATCCTCTATGCCAGTGACTAGTCATGAGGTCTCAACTGCAAAGACCTAAGCCCCATTCCCTTTGTCCCGCTAAACCATGCCGGTTGCGGCATCGGACTTCACCACATGAGACATTGCACTTGTCCTGCAGCAGAAAGGTTTCGTTCAGAACCCATGGGCCCGATCGCTCCGCGGTGGTTCTCTCAGGGAGTGCGCCCTAATCTGCTGGAAAAACATACGAGTTCGGGACTGCCTTACAATGCATCTCCTACACAGTTGGCATGTTGAGTTTCACATTCAGCTGGGAACGCCACATGGAAATTTCCGAGAAAGGGGTCCCCAATATACAAGACGCTCTTGTGCAATCTCAACTACAATCATCCATATTCGCCAACCTGAAGGGGCGTGTTGGTTTGTCAGGCGAAACAAAACCTTCTCCTCTACAGCCCTTAAATTCAAAAGATGCAGAAGAGGATGGGCAGGTGCCCCCCATATTTGGAAAGAACGAATGGGGAGCCAATCCGTGAATCCGCGCAAGACCAGCCTCAAATGGATGTCATCCGTTCAAGAAAACTATCCTCTCTTCTGGAGAGAGGGATGCCCTGAACGGGGATCTACTTGGAGCTTCTTTGGACTGGCCCCTGTAGCTATTTAGTAATTCATTCCTCGAAGGTTTCTGAACCCAAAACCCTATACCGTGAAGTCTTGCGGCATGATCGGATTCCCAAAGGTGAAGCAAAGAACGGTGTTGGCAATCATCAAGAGCAGCCCAGAACAGCGAACACTAAACCCAAGATCCCTGGGCAGCATCAAATCTCCATCAAGGAAGGCTCATATGAATCCCAGTCACTTGATCTGCATGTCCAGCTCGTGCTGCTATTAAAGTTATGGTCACCATCCTCAAGGCACCCATTACTACCATTACCATTGACGTCAGAAACCATGTCCTGAGTATTCGGAGAATCATGTCTGTAGCGACAAGCCAGCAACCGAGGGAGATATCCTGCAGCACTTCGCGTGTAAGGTACTTGACCCCTCCAGCTGAAGTAGGAAGCCGAGCGCTAGAAGGATACATTCCAGGAAAAGTGCCTTTCTTTGCAGACACCCGGCTGGGGCTTCAAAGAAGGACGGTCCCCTTCGATCGTAGTACATCTACATCCCAAAGACTTCAAGCAGACCTGAAGTAGGTTGAGCTATAGTAAGCGCAGAGCTTGAATTGTGGGGGTGGTTGGCGATGTGCGAGGACCGCCAGAATTGTATTGGTTGCATTCAGTGCTCCCCCCGATTGCCCATTCCAAGTGAGGTCGAAAAGAAGAACGAACGCGAAACAACACACATCGAAGGTCTTCAAGGCGACTGTTTGGACGTGAGAATCAAAGCTTATGGGTGTGCTCCGAGCACTGCAAGATGTAACATGCGACAACACAAGAGATCGATTATTGCCTTCTATTCTCTTCACGGCTACATCCTAGCACCACAGCCGCCGTCACAAACCACTAAATGTTTGCCTCGTCCGGCAACTAACCCTTGCCGCACAGAGCCTACTGCCAATCCTCAACATTAGCAGTTGCAACACCCTAAGGGTCCTAGGACCCAAATAATGGGGCTTTAGGGCCCAAATACTATACTATCAGTGGTATTTGGGCCCTAAGCCCTATAATTTGGGTCCCTGGACCCTTAGGGACAGCTACAGTATCCATCTGCTGCGGCCCACGTACTCATTCAATGTTTTGCTTACCTATGCAGCTTCCGGGCTTCCACCGATACTTTGGTCGCTTCATCATGACGGAAGGCCATACCAAAAACAGGCTGTGTTAACCCTAATCCATGGCGGGCAACATAAGAATTGCTGTGAAAGTTTGTCTGAATGAGGAACATGCTTCCAAGACGCCAAACCTACCGGCGAAAACAAACTTTGACCTGAGCCCTCCGAAGAGAATGGAAGGATTCTACAGAACGTCTAGTTTGTCAGGCGTTGGGGTTGTAAGGCGTTCTTGAATGTATAACGTGAAGGGTTGAACTAGTGAATGTACGCCCCGCGCACCCCTGGATTGCAAAGCATCTTGTGCTGGCTCAACCGTGGCGGCTTCCACGCTGTGCTTTCAAGAGTGACCGGCAAAAACATATATATCACAAAACCCAGCTCCCGTCCTTTGGCTTCTTTGAGTCGAAGTTGTATATCTTTCCCAGATGCTCTTGCCTGACAGTTTGCATGTTTATGTGGCATGGGTCCCGCCATTCATGTCAGTCCTCATGACAGCTTCTGTTTTGAGGTTCAAGGGGTGGGTACTAGTAAAGCTGGAGGTAGATTTCAAAATTGGATAAGTAGCTATGATATTAACTGTACCTACAACTGCCCAGGAATCTTTAAACAACCCGAACCTATTCTATGCACCTGGGGCCAAGCATCAGCATCAAATAGAAAGAAGACTAGCGGTTCTTAAGTTCCAGCGAAACAAGAAAATAGTGCCGATCTTTCTGTCAGGGTTTAAGGTTTAAAGGGTTTAGGAGAGCTCTGCCGCAGCATCTCTTAACAAAGGCCTTGTGGGCTTTGCAATCATCTTATACTTCTGTTTGCTATGCCCAAAGGAGTGAATCCAAGTACGGGTGTTGGGGTCTGCGCCCTGGGCCAGAATCCCAAGACCTCCGAAGTAGAGATGAGCTTATCATCCCAAGATGGGAAGCATTGTGGGCAATGAGCAAAGCAAAAACTCTAGTGCGCGGTAGGGTCCGTTGCCCCCCCTAATTCACAATGCTGCGAGGTCTGAAGCATGAGACCTTGTAGCATCAAGAGTCATGACATCAAGTTTTTGGTTCTTACATGCTTGTGTGGACGCTTCTTGCAGTGGCCAGAATGCGGATTAAATGAGACCCCTATATCCTCCTGAATTATTGAAGAAGGTTGCGAGTGCTGGAAAAAGTCTGCCCAGAGCACGGGAAACCACCCTGCTAAACCCCACACGCACAATTCAAATATGTAGTCTTCTGAACCATCCCAAATTCTCTTCATTGTGCCGGAGATACATAACGATGCGAGCGTTGCGCGCAAGGGGACCTGATCGCCGCAGCATGAACTGTTCATGTGTGTGTGCTCAGAATTGCAGGCGCACTGCTTTCTGCTAGATTATGTACATTGCCCGCTACTGACTTGTCATTACCATCTTTTGCGGCTGAGGGGCTCAAACCAACGAAAACCAGTCTTCTTAAGAAGCTTGCCTTCACGATCGGCGGAATGAGCTTAAGCTCTCGATCCCTCCCCCGCAGCTGGATCAGAAACTGTGCCGTGCACAAGTGCAGCAGAGCCGCTAGCTGCACAAGTACACAGCCAAGGCCGTGAATCATTAAACTAAAACGAAGGCTTAACGTCAAATCCTTGGGGCTCCTTCGTTGAAAAAAACATAAAAAATGATGAAGCTCCTTATAAGGACAACCGCAATGGTCCATGAGAAGCCTATACAAGTACAGTGCTACTGTCATTCATCCTAGACGCAGTAACGACAGTAACAGCCAGTGCTCCAAAGTTCTAAGCCGCCCTCTCCATAATTCCGCTGACTTGCACTCGGCCCCATCGGAATCTGGGAAAAAGCTTCACGTCAAGTATCTCAGGTCGCACCAGCAATATTGGCTTTTTGGCCCACTATCCTGGAACGTCCATGGTCTGAAAGCTTCACCCCAGGCTTGTGTCCAACTTACGCAATATGCCTGCAACGAAGTTCTGCGTCCCTGAAGGGTTTTGGGCATATATATATATATATACCTATATGTAAAGAATGTATACATATATGTATATATATATATAAGTCCTGATACACTGCAGCAAATAAGTTCCCAACAGTGCGTCACATCCAAAAAACGCTGCGCCACCGTGGCCTAAGTGCGCAAGCTGTGGAGCCTTGCTTGGCTAGGCCCCATATACCATAATATACCATGATATACTATAATATACCAAAACATACCACATTATACTACAATATACCAAAAATATACCAAAACATACCATAATATGCCACCAACAAGTTGCATAGCTCAACACTCAATCTATACCTTACGGTATATAGAGGATAATGGAAAATGGACGCTACTATAATGGGTTAGATAATTAGATAGGGATGATCGAGGATATAGAAAGTAGGAGCTGACCATCATCACTATCCCTCATGGCCACCTGCTGGTGTTCAACAGAAGAAGAACCAGGACCCTCCTAGTACCCTTAATTGGGGATATATGGTCCCTAATAATGGGTACTTAGGCCCTAATAGAGGGTAGGAGGAGGGTCTAGGCAGATACTTATCCTCCTAATGTCATGCCATCAAGCTGGGGATAGGACAAGGTGAGACAAGTGGGTGGCAAGAGTTTGTACGGACTATGTAGCAGAACCGGCCTGCAGCCGGCAAATTTAGGCTACGCGGCGTCTCTAGGCGTGCAGCTGGGCGCTCGCGTCATGTCATGATGGAACATCATGTGAGGGAAGGGTCACTGCCTTGAACAGCTTGCACGTTACCAGATGAACATGGGACTATGGGACAGGACTCGAAAGACATGACCCAGAAGTCTACAGGCGTCTATTGCTTTGCATCTAGGCTCTCAAATCCTCAACAAGGCAATGACCTAGGAAAGGGCATATATAGGGATGACGGAAAAGAAAAGGGAAATCACTGTAGTATATTGGGGTTAGACTGGCATAATGGAAAATACAATGGAAATCAGGCTCCCATCAGGAGTTTCCGAGTCCCCCCCAAGTAGCCGTAAATGTCCCCTACATGTTGCGGATCTGAGACCATGTCATAGCACTAACCTCAGAGTTCCCGTCGCTCGCTTAACCTGGATGGCAATGTCAACACATGCGGCTGGATGATTCTCATCTGCTTACAGAAAAATTTCTGAAGCATCAGATGTCTCCTCTCAACATGACGGGTTGGGTAGCTGAGGCGTGGCCACTCTAGTCTACCAGGCGCCCTGAACTCCCGAAAACCGAAGTCCAGATCCGATAAATGGAGCCAAGGCCAGGATCGACCAACAAACTCTCAATCAATAAATAGTAGTTTCCATGTTCTTTTCCATTATCCCTATATAACCCCAATCTACTATAGTAGTCTCCATTTTATTTTCCATTATCCTTATATAAACAGTTGAACCCAATTTGGAGGGTCAAGGGAGCCTGGCAAGCAGGTTAGTCATGGGAGAAGTGCAGTTGTCGCATTGGCTCCTGCGGGTTAGAATCGTAGATTTACAAAGTCCCCTTGACCCTGAAAGAAGGACGGCTCTTCCAGCCGAAGCCCCCAGACCAGGTGGCTGGCTGATGAGATTTGCCAAGACTTCTCAGTCCTGTCAGTGACCTAAGATGTCAACACGGTAGCATGTGAACTTTCCATGACACCGCGCAAAGGACATCTCGCCATCGGAAACCTGCTTTGGAAATTCAAAAAGCCTGAAACCCTAAACCAGCAGTGCTCAGGTCAGCTGGCTTTAGGAGGTTAGGGACCTTTGCCACTGGAATTGTGGCGTGACATCAGACAGAAGCAGCTGGCTTAAGCAGGGCATCCTGTATGTGGAGGGCATAATTCATAAGGATCATGGCATTGGGGTTCCCATATTGGAAAAGAAAATGGAAACTATTGTAATAAGGGGTTCTATTGGGGTTATATAGGGGTAATGGAAAAGAACATGGAAACTACTATTATAAGGCCCCATATTTAGGGAAACTCCCATCTTCAGATTAGATATTCCTATTGTGCGAAGTACCAAGGCTCTCTTTTTCAGCTCCACAGCAGCGAACACGGACGCAACCACTGCACACCCACTTCACATAATGGCAGACACATGTTCAAAACCCTGAGGAGGGAGCTCCCAAAATGTAATTCTTCCATGAAACCACTAGTCCTGACCATGGGTGTGTCGTTCTGTGAAGACTATGGTGGAGTCCCGTGAAACGATCCCGCCAATTTGTGCCTGTATAAAGACACCATGTTGGCGACTGCCCGTTTGCTTTGTTCTTTGGATCCCTGTCTTCCACTACTACCTCTACTGGTAGCAGCATTTGTGGTGGTGGTGGTGGTGGTGGTGGAGGTTGCAGTGGCGGTGGCAGCGCCAGCGGCAGCGTCATTCCCAAGCGTTTTTGGGACTCTTGCTTGGTAGCCCAGTAACCATATTACAATAAGGGTACCCTTTTTTCTGTTGGTATANNTACTATATATGGGAACCCAGAACCCAAAAAAGGTAAAAGGGTACCACTGAAATTCCTAGCTTGCAAAACATGCTGATCTCAACTGAGCCGGAGGCCATACAGTCCACGACGGCAATCATCCCCTTTGAAATTTCAGGTTTTAAGCTTACAGCTCCCTAGAGTAAGGAGTAACAGTAACTTCTGTAGCATGGTTTAGGTGAAGGAACGGGGATTCTGGCCACAAGGACCCTGACTGACGCACCACTTTTTCATCAAGAGTTCGAAGCTCTGGATGGAACTACAGCTGCTTGGAGAACCTAATGGTGTGAACGGCCTTCCCAACTACCATTGTTTGATCATTGGAGAAGGACATCCTCTTGAGCGTACGTATATCACTATCAATGACAGTGTTAACAATGGTTAGCAACCAGGACCCTCCTAGTACCCTCAATTGGGGATATATGGTCCCTAATAATGGGTACTTAGGCCCTAATAGAGGGTAGGAGGAGGGTCTAGGAATAATGAAGCCTTTGCGACCCCTTTATGATGGTTGCTCAGTCAGCGAAGTAAAGCGCATTATGGACTTGAAGGCTGACCTTTAGGGTTTAGGATTTAGGGTATAGGGAATTTATGAGCTTCCGTCTGGTTGCATCCTTTTACCTCCGGAACACAAGTAATAAGCTCCCCTGTATGATCAGAAGACTTTTCCAAGTTCCAGAACCTCGGAAACGGAATTTGGCTTAAATCCTCTCTGAGAAAGATCTTCAACGTTCGCTGAAAGCACAAATTACTGGCTGGTACTTGAGCTAGTGACAAAACCTAGACACGTCCAATTACAGTGGCTTCCGTCCACAGCCATTCGGGATCGGGAGTAGCAAAGTTGCTGTTTACAGAGGCTGCCAGCTATAGCAAGTGGAAACAAAGGACTGACGGAATCTACGAGCTAGGCTCAAGGGGTTAACGAGAGAAACAACAAGCTTCGGCATCCGGTATATTCCCCTGGGGCTTTGTACAGCAAAGATAGACGTGAAGCAGTAAGAGGGTGCTGACAAGAGTCCCGAGCGCATCATAGCTGAGGTCCATCAACTTAAGCTTTAGCTGAGTTTGTAGAAGACTCCCGCTGGTGATTTTGGATAAGGGCGTGTATCCTCGTAGTCCCAAGGCGCCTCGGGATGGACGAATTCCACTCTGAAGGGTGCAGGCCTGGACAGGGATTCATAGGCTTAAGATGTGCGCGGCGGATTACAAATGCAAATTCGGTTACACTCCAAGGGTACAGAGGTACAGATTAAGGGTCATGCCAATGTTTGGCAGTGTGGTCCTCAGCATACAAAACTGGTTTATTTGCAATATGGTAGTTTCCCAAAATAGGGGGACCCCAATATAGACCCAAATATACTATAGTCCTTATTATGGGGACCCCTAAAAAGGTACCCCTAATTTTGGGAAACCCTTTTCCCCATAATCCACTATATAATCCCAGTTTCCATTCCATTTTCCATGTTCTTTTCCATTTGATTCTTCATTATAGTAGGTATACAAAACTGGTGTATTTGCAATATCTTGATGGCTCCGGGAGCCAACAACAATGAATTAATGGGAGTTGAACTCATGCTTTGCCCCAACTGCGTGCAGGCCGTTTCCAAACCTTTGAGGTGTTGTTGATCGAACCCATGCTCCAGCTACTACTGCAGAATTCTTCTGAATGTCGAGTGCAAAGATGAGGCAGTGCCACTTGTGAAAATCCTGTACTGGGTTTAGGTGCGAGCTTGGTCGAGTGGGAAGTTCGTTAGAATTTGCAAGCCTGCATCCCCCTTACAGAGCCAGAAGCAGAAATGGCCACATGGCACTCACCTATTGACTAGGACTTAGGATTTTGCAATCTGCTAGTGGAGGTGAAAAATCCAGCTGAGACCCATGTCCTGCATGCCTGACGCAGGAGGTCAGCTGTCACATCTAAGTTAATTGGCTAAAAACAAGCACGAGACTCCAGTTGTGTTGAAATTCTACACCTCTATCCTGGGTCTGAATGATCAAGTCCGCCGTTCAGTACCATACAAAATTGAGCTATATGTCCGAATCCATATGAGCTATAATCAAAACAGCCAGTATCCCCCTTCGTAACCCCTATAAAAGGAACCCTATATCCCCTATATAACCCCCTAAACCCTAAACCCGAGTTTAGACTCTGGCACATATTGGGCAGACGCTAGTCACTGGCCTGCTTGGGGGACCCTTGCCGATCAGGGACAGCCTTCCATCCTCCTCGCCTTCGGCAGCAAAAGGCTGAAATCCCTAAATCATTGGGACTATATTGGGATTGTATTGGGAGTCTATTGGGAGAATGGAAAATAGAATGGAAAATAGAATGGAGACTGCTATTTAGGGTTTAAGGTTTAGGTCTGAACTTGAGGGTTTAGGGCTTAGGAATATTGAGGCGCCATCACCTTACGGGTTCGTGGTAGAGTAGAAAATGCGGGAATATCATCCCCATGCAGTATTTTCCTTGATTTCCTACTATAACCACAGTACACAAACTCAATTATGATATAGTAGTTTCCATGTTCTTTTCCATTGTCCCTGTAGAACCCAAACGTATCTTTACAACCTAAACCCTTATCCCCCAAATCCAAAATGTCAGTTTCCATGTTCTGTTCCAGTATGCTTCTAATCCCCATATACCGTATATTCCCCAAGCCCTAATATCTAAACCCCAAAATAATGGTTTCCATTTTCTCTTCCAGTTTCAGGGTTTCAGGTTTGGGGTTCAGGCTTAGGGCAGTTTAGAGGGTAGGGAGCTCCCACTTGAAAACAAGCGCGCGATTGAGAATTTATGGGCCAGTATCAGAACTGTTCAGGCTTCTATAATGCTATCATGCCTTCTTATGGTTGGGCTGGCTACAAGCTGGTGTTTTTCTACAGGGAGAGTGGGCTTAAGATTGGCCAGCTTAGATTTATAGTTCTGACTTTTTGCGTATGACTACGTAACCCATCAGACCGAGAGGCTGGGGTACAAAATGCGCGCAGTTAGAAAAATTACTAACCCATACCTACCATTCGTACATGGCGATTGAAATAGACCTTCCGGCTTGGACCTTCTTCGACGTATTCATGGGCAAGGCAACGGAAGTAAACGCGGGATGTTTGGATGATCCGAACCGGATCAGATTGGTGAGCACCATGCAGTGCACATTTGCGCAGCCCGTATGTACCCCCATAGACACCCAATAGCGCTCCGTCTCTCCAGAAATATGCAGAAACTTGGCTTCAAGACACTCTTCATTAGGAGCTGAGAACAAACCTTTTGACCGGGCGGACGAAAGGAATGGGAGACGCGGTAACAGCAACCACGGTGAAGGGAAAAGCGAGAGCTGCAAAAAAAGAAACGAAAACAGACTGCAATGATCTGATCCCAAACCCCAGCCAGGAACAAGCATGCAAAGCATGGCTCCCCATTCAGCGCTAAATCACGTACCCATGAACAAACACGCAAGCCCACATACAGCAGAACGTGGCCAACACTGCCCAACACCGACTCACTAAACAGAAATCCAACAGTTCAGAACAACTGCGCGCCACTCAACCTCGCTGCATACACCGCCTGTCTTGGCCAAATCTAAAGTTGAAGCACAGGCCATAATCAAATAAACATGTCAAGGATAGAGGCCTGCATCTGTGCCCTATTCCCAATACTCCCCTCCCCCTAATACCAAACATCCCTCCCTCCGCCCGCCCCCCTAATATTCTATGCTACATATGTGGTATATTGTGATATATATATATATGGAGTATCTAATATTAGGGGGGGGTAGGGGGGGAAATATTAGTGGGAGGGGATTATCCGTCATCCGCTGGAAGCCCAACCCCCAAAGCCTGAACCCTGCAGCTGTCTATTAGTTATTACAATCAGTATTACAATCATCATCATTACTGTTACTATTATTCTCATTATTGTTACTATTACTACTACTCTCGATACTATTACTACTATTCTTGATCCTACTATGCAGATCTCAATACCTTGAAGCCGCATGGGACATCTTAGCAAGCGGCCAAGGGAGAGCCACTGCCCTGTCACAGAGCGTGACTGGTTTCATGCTCCAATGCCCGTTAGGTGTATGATGGCCGCTGCTTTTTCCTATGCCCTTCACTCTTGTGATTCTCATTCGTCTTACGGTGATTATTTCTGACTACCTGTCGAAAGCTCCCTCATGTGTCCGATCTATATCGCTGCTTCAGGCAGCTCGAGGCGAAAGTCGGGGCTTATCACGCTGAAGCATAGCTAAAGGAGTGTAATCTTGACAGCAGTCAACTTGCTAAGCTGCTAATTGCTGAGTCCGGTCCTTTTGTAACGGTTGGATGAGAAGGCTGCTCTTGAAAGCCTTTTCTTGTTTGCATTGCAGGGCATGCGAAAGGCCTCAACGAGAGATGATCACGCGGCGTGTTGCTCTCTGTCCCGTCACTACAGCCGACTGCAGGTCAGGGTTTATGGAGGATCAAACTCGGATGTAGGATTTCGGGTGTAAGCTTTGTGTGGGGCGCGGTGTCAAGTTTAGGAGATAGGGTTTGTGAACCAGCCATTAGCACTGGGATTTCGGACAGCCTTCGTTTGCATGTTTTGGGAGCGGCACGCACAGTATGCGTGACGCAAACCTCTGGCTCTTGACATTGGTAGTTGTGTTTTCAAACATTGGAACCCATATTTGTGACCCCCGAGCCGTTAGGTGCCGTACCAAAGTTGCTACCCACCGAGGGATCCCAATCTTGACATTAACTGGGAAACGGTTAGAAACAAGAGACCAGTAGCGACGCCGGCAAATCCTCAACTACCTCAGCCCTGAGTAAAAGGTAGGCGTGGGATGACGTGGGTAAGTCCACCATGACAAGAATGCAGGACTGTAGCTGGTGGTCACCCCTGGATTGGGGAACTATGAAGTGAGGGGGACTTACAAATTTGGAAATCTTCAGGCACGCCATAGATCAACTGCTTATGGGGATGGGATGAAACGTTGGCCTTCGTGAGAAGCCAAGACCCCGACTAGCAGAAATTCACGGCTGCATTTGGGCTCCAAAATTCTACATTGGCTTGCACTTAGGAACCTTGCTTTGCCCGAAACAAATCAAAACCAAACCGATTTGCCAAATTTGAAGCATTGCAAAGGCAGGCAGAACCCTTGCCATTTGTGTCGAACAGCTCTTGTCATACTCCACACTCCTAAGTCTTCCGAGGAGCCAATAAACAAGGCTTTATCTGGCAAATCCCAAAGTGGCGGGTTTGCGAGCGGATGAGGTTTGCGACAGCTGGAACTGCACTGGCCTGGTGGGGCTTTCTGGCTTAGGTTTAGTCACCATGGTGTGGTTCCTTGTCAGGGTCTGCCCTGTTGAGGGTGCAATCTCGCAAAACGAAGACCTAAATCTCCAGAAACTCTCACCCAAATGGTAGTTTCCCAAAATAAGGGGACCCCAATATAGACCCCAGTACATTATGATCCTTATTATAAGGACACCCAAAATTAAGGTATCCCTAATTTTGGGGAAACCCCCAAAATCCCCTTGCTTTCAGGCTTCGAGCTGACTAAAGCGACGGCCTAAGAACCGGCTATAGTCCCCCTTAGGCAGATAGACTATGGGTTTAGGGTTTAGGGTTTGGGGGTAATATTGGGATAATGGAAAAATGGAAACTAGTATATTATAATAGGGCCTATGTTGGGGTTTTAGTCCCCCTTAAGTAGATAGAATATGGGGTATATGGGGATCTTATAATAATAATGATATACCCAAAGCCATATTCTATCTACTTAAGGGGGACTATAACTGAACTTGTCCCTTTGTGTGTGACTCAACTTGATAGAACTGTGCGTGGGGCGGCAGGGGCTTCTATCGCTGTTCTAGCACTCGTGTCTGAACTCCGGCTTCGTCTATACCGTAGACATGAAGGAGGGTTGAGTTGATGACTTATGAAAATTTGACGATATTACATGCAAATGCATGGTTAAGCAACAGCAGCCGCGGCAGCGGCAGCCGGGATGGCCATGGTGGCGGTGGGGGCGGTGTGGGCGGTGGCGGTGGCTATGGCGGTGGCTTTGCAACGGCAGCAGAGGCGGTGGTTTCGGCGGCAGTGGTAGCGGCGACGATTGGCGCAGCGGCGGCGGTGAAGCAGCGGGGATGCATTGTAGCGCGGCCATGATAATTGCAGGAACAACCGTCGCAGTTGTCGGCGGCGGTGCGATGCTGGCATGCAGCAGCAACGGTCTGGTTGCCTAGGATACACAAAACAGCTCACTACGCTGATTTGATACAGAGCACGAAGGGGTTCTTACTCCTGAGAATCCGGCTCGTAATCCTCGCTCGGCTTGAGCAAGGCGCAGGTCGGAATTCGAACCTCACTGCTCAGCAATTTGTGTGCAAGAGCTCAAAGCTCTGCAGAAAACGCTGCCAATCCGTGGTAGTTACGACTCTTGGTATCCAAGTAGCCTAGAATCTGACAAGAGCTGCAGGTAATGATGTAGCAGCATGTGTATGGTGTTCTAGATACGCACAGCATTCGGTCATAATCGCCAATGTTGGACGCTCTAGACATGTATTCTAGACATGTATTCAATGACTGAAACACGGCGCAGCTTTTTCCGACAAGTTCTTCGAACATCGTCGCAGCGCACACCTCATGGTCAGATGATTCTCTGCCGTGTGCGAATGGGAAGGCTTGTCCATAGGGGCTACGTCTCAACGAGAGGTTTCCTACATCTTCCTTACAATCCACATCAATCCAGTAGCATTCCTCAATTAAGTTCACCAGGAGTGAGACTGTGGGGCCTGGACTGGTCTGCCGTCAGAACCCAAGCCCCAGTCTGCCTCAGTCCCCATTACGCTGGAACACAAATCCCAGACGCTCCCCCATGAGTTGCAAATCCTCCCAGCTGAAATTATTGTAGAGACTGGGTTGCTGTTCAGGAACTTGAATTAAGTTACTCCCCCAGTTTCCATTTCATTTTCCATTTTCTTTTCCATTTGATTCTCCATTATAGGGGGATAATATACCCTAAACCCTAAGCCCTAAACTTCATTTAAGTTCCTTAACAGCAACCCAGAAGAGGGTTGGCGTGGCTACCTTGAATGCAAGCTTGCTCTGCTGAATGGATAGGATTTAGGGTTTAGGGTTTAGGGTTTGGGGTTTAGGGTTTAGGGTGTGGGGTTTAGGGTTTAAGGTTTAGGGCATGCGGAAATGAGAGGCAAAGGGCCACCTTCAAGAAATGGTAGTAGTTTCCCAAAATAAGGGGACCCCAATATGTTATAACCCGTATTATGTGGACCCCCAAAATGGTACCCCTACTTTTGGGAAACCCCCAAATAGTGTGCGGCTGCACCCCAACAGTGCTATCCACTGGCTATCGTAAGTGTGTTGTGCGGGCCTTGGCGGTGAGAGGAGAGGGGTTGGTGGTGAAACAGGTTGGGCCGAGGCGGTTAGGGAACCTCACACCTTCAGGGGTTGCTTCGTTGGGGTATTATTATGGTTGTTATTGGGGTTATATGGGGATCATGGAAAGAAAATGGAAACTAATATAAGGGGTTATATAGGGTTTNNGTTTAGGGTTTAGGTAGATGCTTTGCAGGATATGTGAAGGTTGCTCAACAATCGATCTGTCAAGGCTTCGAACCTGAGGTGAGCTTCCGCAAGCTTGCACATGGAAAAACCGGCCACCAAGGCACTCTACGTTTTCTTCGCACGAGTTTAGGATGGAGTCAGAAGGCTTTCCCTGAGCTAGCAAATGCCAGTCCCCCCAACACCTGACAGTCAATGAACCAAAGGATACGCAAATCGATGGAAACTCCTCCAGCACTCGTTCTGCAATTGGGCTGTTGCGCTCCCTGCGCTTCCCTGGGACTCAACCCCAACTACAAGGGACTGACAGCTTACAGCATGGAAAAACCAACAGAATTCAGGAGCGGGCAGCCCGAAGTTCTGGAAGCCGTAGGCTTACTCTATAGGGATTATATAGGGATT